AAAACATATGTTTTTTCTGCATTGCTGTAGAGGATTCGTTTCTCAGAGTCCTTTAAGATTTGTACCTTGAGGAAAATATGTGTGAAAAAGATTCTGAGGCAGGTATAGGTTACTGTGAAAGGGAATAAACCATAGCTAAGAGGATTGGGACGTTTTGCTTTTTTCCCCCTCGTCTTCTGTAGGAATTCTTTAATGGAGGGAAATATCAAGTACATTAACTGTCAACATATACTAGAAATTTATGTAATTAGGCAAAGGAAAATCTGTGTGATTAAACAAAAGAGAATTTATATAATTAGACAAAGGATAATATGCAGTTATAGATATTATATATGATAACTAGTAGTTAAAAATATAGGCATAGAGAACTTTCTAGAAGACAGCTCATAAATGTTCCCTGGTGGTTGTCTCTGGTTATTGGAACTGTGAATGCTATTTTGATTCCTTTTAATTAACTGTGTTTTCAATTCTCTTGCGGAGCAATCTTTAATTTATAATAAAAATGTTGACAATGTAAATGACCACACAATATATGGTAGGTACGTGGAAATCTCCCTACTTGACTTTGTATGTCTTAATCTGTTCTTATTCTGGGTATTTCATTAGATTTGCTCTGTGGCTTGCATTTTTCTTCATTTTCATTCTCAATTTAGTTCTAGTCTCCATCATTTGATTCCAAGGGACCAGCTCAGTGCCTGCCATTTCTGAAAGAGTGCAAAGAAAAGATAAGTGAAATCCTCATCAGCATCTAGGATCGTCCACATTTCTGAGTTTTCCATTCCTTCACCCTGCACTCTCTGAACATAGCTTTTCACCATCCCTTTTCCCTTGCTTGTCGAAGTTTTCCAGTAGTTTCTTTGTCAAGTATTTGAGAGTGTTTACCTTGCATGCAGGCTCACCCTTCAAAAGTTGAGCCACATGATATTCATGCCATTAGTTCACTGTCTGCCTCCTAAATGACTTTTTATACTCCTGAGACTCTGCCCTCTGCATGGGATCACTCTTTTCTATTTATTAATACTGTACTGTATCATTCCACATTTGAGTGATGTTACCTCAAGCTTATACACAATTATCTACCCATCCCAGTGCCTCCAGGATAGCATAAGAACCAGAATAATCACTGATTTGAAAAACAAGCATTAGCATCACTTTTTTGGGGTAGGGGTATTTTCTGCCTTAAAACAATCAGTATTTTTATAGGGCACATGTTTTCTGGCTTCTAAATTATTGTGTTCACAAGGAATGGAAACAACCAAAAAATACACTTCCACACCTTTAACCAGGAGTTCACCACCAATTCCTGTTGTGTTGGAGAGGATCACAGTGACAGTGGTAGCAGTGGTACTAATGATCATAATGAGGAAGCCCTCCCTCATTGCAGGAAAGGCCTTGTGCTGGGTGCTTTGAATGCATCATCTCTAATCCTTAACCCTAATGGCACTCCACAAGGCGGCTATCATTGTTTTCATCCTTGTTTGACATTGGGGAGACTGAAACACAAAGGTTGAATAATTGCCAATCTTGCATATTTAGTAATGGTTGGAGAGGAGTTGGAATGTGACCCTAAGTCTTTGTGGCTTTAAAGATGTATTCTTTTTCAATCCATCAGTAAATATATATATATAAAGTTTTTAGAAAAATACTTAGATAAAAACTTTTATATAGAACCACTATGTACATATTAATTGTTATTTCCCCTCAGTCACTTATTTGGAGATGTTAATTTTCCTTCTTTCCAGCCAGTGGTAGAGGCTTGGGGAGATCAAAGGCTTGACCATAGAAACCCTGCTCTGAGCTTGGGTCTTTAATCAAGTAAATGAGATTGAGTGAAAATAAAAGAAACAGGCCGATCTCTTAGCCTCTCTTTGCAGCTTCCTTCCTCTCCTACACGTGCATGCCATTTCTTAGCTAAATATTTTAGTCTTATGGAAAAAGCAGTTCCTTGGGAAAATAGCTGATTTTATCCTGATAAACTGACTTATCACTTTGTAATATAGACTTTAATTTTAATTCAGTAATCCTAAAACTACAGGGATATAAAACACATTACAGTTATAGCTGACTTCAGATTGCCTTTTCTTTGAAATCTTTAACAACATGAGATCATTTGTATTTGCTTAAAATAAGCTTTTTGTTTTAATGTAAATTGAATTAAATCATCTTCTGTTTATCTTAGAATGATCTCAGAATTTAGTGTGAAATTTCCATTTGCAGAGTCACATTTACTAATGTGAGTCTCTCTCCTTCTCTCACTCAGTCACTCACTCTCTCTCTCTCTCTCTCTCTCTCTCTCTCACACACACACACACACACACACACACACACACACATACACACAGACACTCCTTTCACTGGTGCCTGCTGTGGCCCTCAGATTGATCAGCTCCACCTGAGGACCCTGTGTTGCTATGTGTCACCCACTAGCTTTGAAACAGTAGGGCTGACCAAATGGTCAGCATCTGGATGAAGTGCCCTTACACTGACCCTCTATATAAAACCTGTACTTGAACTTGGTTTGATTAGACACAGTTCCTCTACATGCTGGGAGAGGGTTCGACTGGACTGTTTTGAGAGTGGCCTTCCTGGGTGGTCTGCTCTTACCCAAGCTATGGCTTGTACCAATTTAACCTGCAGAATTTGGGATCAACCACATAGCTCCCTAAATTCATAGGCAGAATAAATCTCCCCTTCCCTTGAGTAAGTGGATCCATTTCAATAGCAGTTGACTAACCCATTAATACCATATACAAATTTGCCCACATTTGCCTCTGGTGACCCTCTCAGTATTTCATTAGATTTGTCTTGGTGTATAATATTCTTTCTAGCTGCACTGTACAGAGTGGCAATAAAGTAGCCTTCTCCCCACTGCACAGCTATCTCTCAATTAGTCTTTTGTTTTGGGTAGAGGGGGACTAGGAGGAGATTTATGTAATCTCCCTGTGGCAAGGGTGGGACACTGGGACGTTTGGCTTGATTATGTGTCTCCTAAGTGCCAGCCTGTACCTTAAAGTTTATTTCGCCCTCTAGGGCTATACTTCTTGAAAATTCACCATTGTGCCAGTATGGTAATGAATTTTTCAGTCTTTCCCTTGCTGTTGTTATATATCAAGCTATTTGTTTGTGCCTAAGCATCCAGACAAAGCTGGTCAGCAATATAAAACACTTATTGTAGATGGTAGCCTCTTTTAAAAATCCAACAGCACAATATATTTCCTTATGTACCCACTTTTCCCAAATATAAAAAGTATCACTGTCGGTTTAAATAACTGTAACACTAACTAAACAAATTACATTGTATTCTGATCTGCCTGTACAATGGTAATGGTGTTTTTTATTTTCCCTTATATCTTAGGATAAATTACAGGATGCACAGACTTTCAATGATATAATTGACTTTATTTAAATGAGCTCGGTTTTGATTAATAGATGAGAAGTAATTATTTCTATAAATAAAATATTGAATGAATTGTTTTATCCTTAATTAAATAATCGGTCATATTAACTCTAGTCTTCAAGTTTATTGAAGCTTTTATGCCCCTGTGTACACTGCTCTGTGAAGTTTCCTTATGCTCTCTCCCAGTCCTCTCTATCCTGGGTGGATATCCACACCACTGATATGGGACCAGGCTCATTCTAGTTAATGAGCTCCCTATGTTTCCCACTCCTGGGGTCCCTTTGTGCAGATATGCACCTGTGGATTGTATTGTATTGATATTCACCATCACCTCCACCCTCTCTCTGGTTTCTACATCTAATCAATCCCCAAATCCGTTGTTTGTCTGGTGCAGATCTCATTAATACTCCCTTCCTCTCTATATCAAGTTCCTACTTGCCTGGTGCAGGCTCCCATTACTGCTTTCAGACTATAACTGCGTTTGCCGTATTACGTGTTTTCTCTGCCCTAGTCTTATCCCCTCCAGTTTATTTTATGTAATGTAGCCAAAATGAAAAATCTGTTAATGTCGCTTCCCTCACTGCTGAGGACAATGCAAATCTCTTCCACAGTGATCCAGGCACTGGCACCTCTCTTCCCCATACCCTTTCCTTACTGTGACCTTCCACATGGCTGCAGTTCCCTAGGCTCAGTGCCTCGCTCCAGGTTTCAGAGCCTCACACAATGTTCATGCTTCCTAGGGTGCCCCTCCAACCTTTGTCTCCCTGGGGAATACTTCTTAGTTCTTCCAAGCCCATCAAAGTTACAGCTTCCCCTGCCCCGCCTCACACGAAATGAGGAAATCACCCTCTCCTCTCCTTTGCCTGCATTCTTCATCGTATGTCTGTTATGGCATATAATCACTGTATTGTGACTATGAATTTACAATATGTTTCTTTATTAGATGGTGAATTCCCTGAGACCAGGGTGTTCTCAGTCACCTTTGTAATTCCAGAGCCTACTAGAGAATCTGACACAAGTATGTAGTTAATGAACATTTGTTGAATTGGTTCAATTGTCTTATAAATGTTCTATGTTAGAGAATAGTTTCCTAGCAGAGTATTAAAAGACTGGATATGGGGTATCTCTATAGTCTGTTCTTGTCTGATTAGCTCAATTAAGAGTACAGTGTTAATGAGGCCAAGGTCTTAAGTTCCATTCCTCTCTGGAGCCATTAGCATTGTACTTCAACTGTCAGTAACCTCAACTAGCTTTCTGGTAAATACCATTGGTTCCAAGGGAAATGAAGAGTGAAAATGATTAAGGTCAGGACAAATTCATCTCAACTATTAGACAAATCAAATTAAATGTGTTCTTGATTGATATTAAAAGCATAATTTCATACTTCAGTGTGAAATGAGCACCTTGTTTTGTTCACAGCCCCTGTCCATGTGCACTGATGCATTTGCCTTGAAAAGTTCTGCTGCATTGGAGGTGGCAGAAGTCCCACCCCGTCATGGTAGTTTTGCAATAAGAGCAGTTAACAGTCCATCCACAGATCTTTAGCAGTGTCAGCCTCTGAGCCTCTCGTCTACACACATCCCTCTCCGTGTTTGTCTTCCAGGTGAGACGATGCGCATCGCCTCTTCAGAGTTTGCTGATGACCCATGCTCATCCGTGAAGCGTGGCACCATGGTGCGGGCGGCAAGGGCTTTGCTATCAGCTGTAACGCGCTTACTCATCCTTGCGGACATGGCGGATGTCATGAGACTTTTATCTCATCTGAAAATTGTACGTATGTAGAACTTACCAACACTTACTTTATGCGGGTGGCAATATTGGCCATGTGTATTACAGCAATGAGCTCTAAAAGGATGTTTTACTGCTCCCCAGATCACTTGGGTACTCACCCTTGTGGTATGCTCCCCAATTTTTCTAATTCTAAAATTATATTCAATAACATATTCAAAAAGTTATAGAAGATACACTTGAATTGTTTTTCTTCTCTCAAAACACAGAGTTTGGATTCCCCCCTTCCTCTCAGGAGTACAAAATAGTGCATTCTTTTACGTTGCAGAGTCTGAGCATGGTGCACCTGCCTTGGCCCTGTCTTGAGATTCAGAGCAGGGCTGGTCCATGTGGTGATTCATGCTAGGCCAGCTCTTCTGGGTAATTGGCCAAAGGACCACCTATGTGCACCTTAGTATAGATTGCGTGTTGAATATATTTTGTTACTGCTCCACATTTGCTCTTCTGTAGATACACAGACTTTGAGCCTACCTTAGTCTGGCAATAAAAAAATGTCCTATACGTACCTCCCATGGTTAGAGTTACCTTGTTGCACCAAGCCTAACATCTCACATTCCTGGACTGGGTCTCTGGGCACATATGTGCCCCACCCGCCCATAGAACTCCATTATGTACGCCTTGCTTGTCAGGGTTCCTTGGTTCCTATTAACTCTTTTGTTTCCTAATAGAAGTGGAGCCCTGCCCTGGCCACAAATTTTACTGGAACAGGTGCCAAGGCAACCTTCCTAGTCCCCCACAGCTAGGTCTTTCTCTGTTTTTCTAGTTGCTGACTGGTATCTAGTTGCAACCAGGATGATTCAGCGCTTTAACTAAGATGCCATAACTCAATTGCTGAGGAACATGCCTTCTGCCCAGTGAGTCTCTATTCCATGCCCTCAGTGGATTTCATTCCTGGGCTTATGTCAGGGTCCTTAGGTGATGGGATGTGAAGCAGGCACTTTCGTTTTTAGAGGCTTAGTTGCCTTTTTGCTGACTTATTTCCTCTAGCTCTGGCCCTTTCCCCTTTAGCCAACCCTCAAAGTCTTATTTTTCTTTGTCAGTGAAATAAACAATGAAGGGCAGGTGAGATAGGAAATTAATAATGAGAGCCTACCCTCACTTCCTCTTCCATCTCAAATGTGTTCCAGGGGTGGGGTGAGGGGTCCCTTTAAGAAATTTATAGGGTCCGGCCCAGTGGCGCAGCAGTTAAGTTCGCACGTTCTCGTTCTCGGCGGCCCGGGGTTTGCCGGTCCCGATCCCGGGTGCTGACATGGCACCGCTTGGCAAGCCATGCTGTGGTAGATGTCCCACGTATAAAGTAGAGGAAGATGGGCACGGATGTTAGCTCAGGAGTAGTCTTCCTCAGCAAAAAGAGGAGAACTGGCAGTAGTTAGCTCAGGGTTAATCTTCCTAAAAAAAAAAAAAAAAGAAATTTATAAAACCACAAGTGTTCTCTGTCAAAAAATCGTGGACAGGATCGTTTATCTGAGTTGGCCCCAATTAAAGGGCCAAGATTTTGAAGTTACGTATAAACTCTGCAATATATAAAAATCCTAAAATTCCACCATCTCCAGCATGAGTTCCATGGTCATAAACCACAAAGTGAGGTATAGCTCCTCATGGTTTCTATACAGGGACTGGAGGAGCCAAGGGACACAAAGCAGAACCTGCTTGGGATTTTTTTCTCAGAGAACAGACCCTTAAAACCCAGGAAAGGGTCTTGCCAATAGGACAAAAGCAGTACGAGGGGAGACTTTGCCATTTCAGAGGCTGTTGAGGGGCAGTGTAACGTTATGATTAACCATTTGGCCACTGGAGTAACACTAACTAGGTTTAACCTTGGCTTGATGTCCTCTTGCCAGCCGTGTTGTAACCCACTCATAACCTCCATATGTCTCAGACACCTCATCTGTTAATACAGAGCTAGTGACCGTACAGCCCTTGAGTCATGGTGAGGTGTAAATGGGGGAAATTACTATGAAGCATTTATTGCCGAGTCTGGTATAAAGTAAGAGTTCCGTACATGGTGGCCACGTAGTCACTGTAAGATCCCTGGGACCCTTGCAGACTGCAGTGCTGGTCGTCCTTCCTCCAGCCCCACCTGTGTTATGTGCATCTTTTCAGCAATCACTTACTTCCTTCTCAAGTGTGTTGGAGAAAAAGCTTTGTAATCTTTCCCTGACAGCCAACTGAGTCTTCAAAGACAACATTTTGAGAAGGATGTTTACCCCAGATAGACAATCTTCCTTTACCAGGGGGAAAATAATACTGAACCTAAAGGTGAAAGTTACATTCCATGTGGTGGTGTTCTCTGTGCTGTGGAAGACCCTGTCCAGCACTCCTGGGAGTGACGACAAGCTAAATATTCTCCCTGAACTGCCCACACTCGGAAAGCACTCATGAAATCTGGGCCTTTAATGTGACACATGGCCCCACTTGCTGCCTGTAATCCTACCTCTCTCCCCATCTGTTTTGACCAGTGCTTTCCGCTTAATAGTATCAACGCAGCCTGTCGTAAGGTGGAGTCAATTGTATTCTCTTCCCGACACAGCAGATTAAGGGAGTTAAAAAAAAAAAAAAAAAAAGGATTTAGCACAAAATCATGGAAAGGTTAATCCAGCAATATTAAGAAGTCCTGTCAGACTGTCAGTAGTAAAATTAAAAATGACTGTAGACTAAATAACACACTTGTTCTACTTGGAGCGCAGCCTCTGCAGCGAGCGCACAGCAGTGGTGGAATGTTGCCATCTTGTGGAGCAAGAGAGGAACTGCAGTTTTCGGTGCTATCAGTGAATTACGCGGGTCGTGGCCTGTGGCCCTCTTTGGCTTCAGATCCGTCAGGGGATCGTATCGTGGGGCTCTTGACCTCCCTGAACCCCAGAAAGGACAGCGTGTCAACAATTCATTGCAAATGAACACATACGCAATTCTATTTAGTAGCATTTTTATTCTTTTCCATGGAAACACATCCTTTCATAAACATGTATTGTCTACCAATATCTATTTGTTTGTTTTTAACTCAGGATGAAGAAAATATCTTTACGCATTCTCATGGAGCGGGTTAGAAATGATCATCTACTCCTTCATCAAGGCTTTTTCTAAATAAAAAAGGAGTTTCTTTACCATGTGAATGATAAAACAGACGAGAAAAAGAGTGGCAGGTGCTGTCAATAATAGTAAGGTAGTGAGTCAGTTTTCTGTTGGTTCAGAAGATTGAAAAATACGCTATAGTGAGCCCCGTAGCTTCCTGCCATGTTAACCGCTACATAACTATTTTACTTTAAGCATTACACATAATATTTTATTTTTTATCTTTTAGGCCATATGCCAAATTTTTATTGCTGTTCTTTCCAGATATTGATTATTCTCATTTCTGAGTAACTTACGGGAACATAGAGGGAATTGCCTTCTTATCAGAAACTTACATTCATGTTTTTCCATCAATAATTCACTCCGTAGATGAAGGATAGTCAATTTATTCTCCTAAGCTACCCTCCCTTATTCTCTGCCCGGCACCCCCATAGGTAGTTGTTGCAAATTGAGTAATTGTGAGCAAATATTGTTCACCCTCTAAAAATAAGTAAAGAATTGGAAGCCCTGCAGAAACTGTATGATTTTCTAGGATATACGTCTTTGCATTCTACTACCTTAAAATTATATTTGGAAATTCAACTTTATATGACTGCTGAAGAGTCCATCTTTTCATATAACATGTAGGTATTCTGGTTGCCTATATTAAGCTATGTATTCCATCACACAAGTGTTTGCATATGCTTTAATGTTGAGCTTTGTTTTTTGAGTATATTATATTAAGGATTCACATGACTTCAAAAGGTTTTTGTTACTATAGTTGTTTCAATTCAAGAGAATAGTGATGGAATAGTGGGTGATACATAATTCAAAGTCGAGTTATCACCGAAGTGGGAATTTGCTGTTCCTGAGCAAAGCTAAAGTAATCGTTTGCACATCAAGCATCATTAAAAATACTGAATTATAATCACTTTCATTGTTGAAGTTGCCAGTGAGTGATTCCCTAGCCAGACACCTGGTGTATTTTGCAATCAGTTGACATTGTCAGTGTGTTAGGTTGACATGTGGCACTTCAGACTTTTGAAGGAATCCTGCATTTCAATTAGTGATCATGAAGAGCGATATATATTTTCCTTAGGCTCTGAATTAATGTAATCAGATTATATTGTCAATTCTTAGCATTAGTGATAGCGTTACACACATAAACTCATCTAGACGTGTCTACTGGAGAAAACAATGACCTTTTTTCTGTCTTCAGGCTAGGTCCTGGAATAATGATGTTCTTGATTATCTCTCTAGAAATTTCTCTCTAGAAGGTGGAGTAGCAAAATAGAAAACAACAACCCCTTAGTCAACTTCTCAGGAGAGTCAGATTATCTTAGTGGCTGATCAGCTGGGGTGTTTGTCATTCAGATGAGGAGTGTGTGTGACTGTTGTGGGGTCTGAGAAGAGGAACGAAGGAAGACTGAGAACGCTTCTGATAACCTGTGTATTGCCTGCGCTACTTTAAGGACACCTTTGTACAATCTCTGCAGGGGAATCCGAAAAGAAGGCAGCTGGGCACAGATGAAGTACACCCAGTGAGAAGCCTATTTTTCGAAGGAATAGAGTAGGCAGTAGTCATGCCCATTTGGACATCCATGAGGTTTCGACCATCACAGCAGGCTTTTTTTATCAGAATTGACAAACTGATTCTAAAATTTATATTGAAAATCAAAGGATATAGAATAGCCATAGCAATTTAAAAAAGAAAGACAATGTTGGAAGAATTAATTCTCAGGCTACAGTGATCAAGACACTTTGTTATTAGTGAAAAGATAGTCATATAGCTCAATAGAACAGAATAGAGAGTCCTGAAATAGACCTACATGTACAGGGTGAATTGATTTGAGTCAAAGTTGCCAAAACAATTCAATGGGCAAAGGGAAAATCTTTTAAACTAATGGTGTCATAGGCATAAAAATAATTCTCAA